TTGAAATTTTGCTGTTGAGCCCCTTACATGATGTGTATGCACAATGAGGAATTAATTGGTTTGAGTATCAATATTTTAGGTTTAAATGTCATACAAAACTTATCTTTTAGTATATCCTATGCACAAGATAAACTTCAGATCTATGGTAAGAACCATAAAACTCAGCCAAATTATGCACAAGAGCAAAAGTACTGCATGAGTGTATGTAGGTGATGCCATTAGCTTTGGGTTTAATCCTATCCAGACTAGTGAAATCTGTATATCAAATTTCACAATTTATTTTAAAACTAATAATCCTAACTGTGCTTCAACAACTTTGAAACTAAAAATATTTTATAGTTGATATTTTGTCATTTTGTAACATATATTGTCCATTGCAATGAAAAAAATTATCAATGTTACTTAGCCTGACAAAGATAACAGTGTCACCATTTGGAAAGGTCAGGTCCTAGGTCACCACTAGTTCTTTATCAGTTCTCACCATGTTTTTCTACAATTTACAGTCAGAAGTGATGACTACTTCAGTCAGCAAAGTAAAGTATTAAACTGACTGGGCATGTAAAATGGAACTTTTTGATCAACAGTTAATCTTGATAAATCAACAAAAGAAAGGAGCATTATTTGATGTTTTTTTGCTGTTTTTTTTTCAAAACAGAGTCTCACAATAAAGTTTTGGAATAATAGAAATACTGAATCAAGTTACATGAATTTTTTAAAGAATGAAGCAAATTACATGAATTATTTTAAGAATTTCAAAGGGATATCAGTGATGCTCCTCTGGTCTGGAAAGGGTCGATACACAAGAGATGTGATTGAAGCGATACTTGAAACACGGTTTTCTTACTAAAAGCCATGCTACACTTTCTCAGAGAGTTCTAACTCCAAGAGTGAGATATATATTCTGGTTATAGTTTGTAATTAGGGTAGAAAATCTGTGGAGAGATTGGCTAGAACAACTATTGATACTGTGTATGAAGGAAAAATAATGTGAACTAGTGATGTAGCTAGTGTTACTTTAACATAATTGCTTGAACACCAAAGGTTGCTAATAAAAAAACTATGCAGACAATCAAAGTTCAGATTAGCAAAAAAAAAATGTTGAAGCTACTGATGGAATACAATGATGTATTTGTTGGAGCAGATGATTGGCTGAAAAAACAGACCCCACCAAACATCATGTAATTTTATTAGATAACTCCACTAAATAGGAGATTCAAACAAGGTGTGATATTACAGAATAGTGCTGAACTTATACTGGCTGAGTTCAAGATAAAGACTAAATGGACTGAACACGAAGTGCTATATACAATGACAATAATCTTTATTATTACTCACAGACAAAAATGCAGTGTGTGTTCATGCTTATGTTACTTTTGACAGTTGCTTTATTTGATATTTGTATTGTAGAATCGTCCATCAGACTAACTAAATTAAAATTTTTCTATTTAAATTGAAACTTCACATTTATGTAGCACAACTGTGCTACCATGTGACACATCATTCTCATTCCACATTGGTAGAGTTGTGATCTCTAGATATTACCTGTACAACTTATGGAAAATGTTGCCCTTGGCATACTTAAACAAGACAGTAATAGGTATCATATACTTTGAAAATGACTCAGGAACAAAGTTAATTTGTAAATTATCAGTTTAACAGTTTTCTTGACCATTTTTTTATGTGAAAATCTGTACATCACATATTCAGATAAGTTCAGAATAAATATTAACACTATGGAAAGAAGATAAAGAAACTCGTGATATATTCCATTACCATAGCTCTGTTCATCATGTTCATAACTTTTTTTTATCTGTCATATATAACTACAACACATATATGTTATTCCACACACACATCTTTCAGTTCTGACTATGTAGTAAAAATATCTATGAATGTGGTCTGAAGAAAATATTAAGCCTGCATGGAGTCATGTCACACGTATTCATTGAATATCAGGTTAACTGAAAATGAAGCCTGCAGAGAGGGAGATTAGGGTGCATATGCAGTAAAAATGGAACATAGTGAAATAACACCAGAGCAGTGGTTCTCAACCTTTATCATATGTGGATCACTTTGATGGGGCAAAAGACCCTGCAGACAACCTACAGGCCCTACCCTGTCTGATTTCATTGACACCACAAACAAACTCATCAGAATTAATGAAAAGTTGTAGTATTTGGTGTGGATGTGCGTGAATCAGTCTGTAGTAAAGTCTGGCAGTGAAAATGCACAAACTTACAACTGTTCTTTTACTAACTAAAATTCATTAGTTAAAACAAGTGAGTCAACTAAAGCACAAGATAGAACTAGACCAAGAAAATACTATGAATACATAGGTTTTAAATGTTTAGTGAGAAACTTTGCTGTTTATGTGACTGTTTTTTTCTGTATAGTATGAAGTCTACTTGGGAAGGTTGACTTTGGCAGTTGCAGTTTACAGAAAATAAAAATGATAAAGTTGTAGCTTTTAATTTTTTGGAAAAGTTTGAAAACAAAGATATTTTCAAACAGAGAAAACATTTCTTTTTGTGTTACTTTGTTAAAAGGCCAGGATTTTAACTGCTTTGTGTTTTCCTTCTTGTCATATACATATGGATGTGAAAGTAACGGACACTGATCACTCTAATGCCCTCCAGGACTAAGAGAGGAATTAGCAGCTTGTGAAGTTGCAGAGAAGACAGGCAACAGTATAGGTGATACTGTACTCTCTGTACATTCTGTTATTTAAGACTTCTGCTGCAATAATTCAATTAGACTACTAGCTACTAATTTGCAATGGGTTTTTATTTTGTTTTTCAACTAGAGTGCTATGTCAAGTGCTTTTCCTCATGGTAACGGAGAACTAGGTGCTAAGCCTAAGGAGGAACATCATTCAACCACATATGATCAGTTCACTTTGAATTTTACACAGTACAGTCAGTTGCAAATATTATATTGTAGGCACTGTCTGTTTGCAGTTTGATGCTTTTCGCAATCCAGAAGAGAGCTTGCTTTATATCTTCCAACTCCATCCTTGTGCTGTTTGTGAGAAGCTTGAATGCTTCACCAGCCTTATGCAGAATGTTGTTGCTCTAAAAGATGATGAATGCTAACCAGTTCTCTTATTATCTGTATGGAACAATAAAGGTCATAAGTAGCCAGAAGTAAAAATTACTGATATAATTATACCAAATTAGTTTTTTTTTATGTTGGATTATTCTTCCAATGTTCTTAGAAATTATATTTTTGTTAATTATTGACCAGTACCAGTATCAATAAATGGAAATATAAAAAAGAGGCAGTTGAAGTACACATATTCAACTTATTATTTGACCTATCAAAAACACATTATTAACTCCCTGTTTTCTGTTCTGTTTGTATCTATATGATATGATACAGAGTAAATACTTTTTTCTTCACATTTATACTACAAGGCTTTGCATTCGGTCTTATAGGGACCTGTGGGTAACAGGGGGTTACCAGGATCAAAGGTAAATTATTGTTACTATACATATATACAAAAAAAATACTTTACAGTAAGAAATCAAAAATCCAGTTCATTAGAATGATTTATATCTAAAGCACTATCTATCTTTTAAGCATTCCCCCCCCCCTCCAAACTCTTGACAAAAGAAAACCTTTCAAAAATACTTTGAACTCAAGGTTTTAATAAAAGGTTGGACCATTCTATTTCAAATGCTCATTCAGCCTTCTGTCCAGCATCTATCTAAAACATCTAAACTAAAACACTTCCAAAAGTTAATTCCTTCTATCCAAAAATAACATTTTTTTCCTGCCTTTGATTAAACAACAGGCTTTAATAACACTTAAATTTAGAATATTTTCAATGAAATAAACATCTTGGCCTCCCTAGATGAATTATAACTAAATAGAGGTACAGTATGATAAAATCTGAATATTCAAAGAAATGATTTAAATTGTTATAAGTGAAAAATAGCTATGCATGTGGTCAATTTTTTTAGGCAGATGACCTTCACCAAATCCATAACTTATCTTTTTCTCCATAATAACCTTAATCCCAACAAGTTTGGGGTTGGGTGGTAATTTTGGAAGCCAAGACTTTTTACACCCAGGAGGCCGTTCCAGACAGCAACCATATTAGGTCGAGCATGTTCGTTGAAGGGGATTTGAACTCATGATCCTCATATTATGAGTCAAGTGTTCTAACCACCAGACCATGCCAGGCCTACCAAATAACTTATAATAATAATATAATCAAAAAATAACTTATAATCAAAGCAAGCTACCTACATAGAACTAACGAAAGTCATTTAGCCAACAAATTATTTTTCGTTTACAATAATTTTCACCATTTCTCACTATTAACCTACGTTGAAAAAAAAGGATTGAGCATCAAAGTTAGATTATAGATCTGTGTTTTCTGACAAGAATTTTGCCTAATAATAACTAATTCTTATACTCTAAGCATTGTATTTGTGCTTCTCTTTTGTTTCTTTTTCTTGGATGGGATTGCCCTGATGAATCAATAAGCTCCTTGTTGTCCTTAAATGTTATTTATCATGTTAAAATAAATACTTGTTTTTTCTGAAAATCATCCATATTTTGTAAAAGAAAAATAATGTGACATTTGCATCATGAATTTTTAATAACTGAACTTGTAATAGATTTCTTCAGTAAGTTAAACTAGATGTCAGAGGATCAGGAATATGTAAAATGTGAATAATTTTAATTTGAAATTTCATATGAATAGGTATGAGTTATAAAAAATCGTCATATGACTGTTTCATAAATCATACCATCAAATGTGTGATTTGTTTATCCACACATGTACAAGTTGCTTTTCAAGAAGAGTGTTTTGTCATAGTAAAACAACTGCAAAATTTAAAAAATTCATATAAATCTGAAGGAAGTCATTAATAATTTGTAAGTTTAGTAATAAAGCAACATGGTATGATATGTAGAAATTTAGGCAATTTTTGGAATTTGTTTCTTTGCTTTTATGCTCTTATCAGCACATTTTCTTCAACGTTTTAAGGGCAACAAAGGAGAGAGAGGCTTTATGGGAGCCCCTGGATTTCCAGGTCTTATTGGAAAACCAGGATTACCAGGCTTTCCTGTGAGTAATGATATTTATATATGTTTTTGGTTGAACTTGAGGCTCATGCCCTAAAATTGAACTAGAAAGTCACACATTACCATACTATATATATATATTTATTTATTTATAGAGCATAAGATTAATATAAAAAATCATGCCTTACCAAGAAACAAACTAAACAAGCCAAAATTTTAGTAGATTTAGAAACTACAAAAGGTACAATTTTGGAAGAGAATAACCACGTTGATCATTATCTGGATCTAAATACTGAATTCAGTGAAGGCTCTGTTAAGATAAATATTTATGACAAAATACTTAATTTTTAACTTTAGGTTTATGATATACCTTCTCCTAATGATATTATTCTGTCTAATATGTTTAAAGGGGTAGTTCTCTCAAATAAAAAGGTTTGCTTCATTTTTTAAAAAATCTTCATACTTTTAATGCAATATAAAGACTTACCTGAGTAAACTTGAACTTAACAGACATAACTGCACTAAGTAGCAAATTTACAGACTATTTTATCATAAATATCAATTTTTATTAAGTAGATTGCCTGTAAAGACCTTATCAAATAACATTATAATGATATGTGAAACATCTTTCGTTAATACCATTCATAATGTTAGAAAAACAGGTAGGTTCAAAAAGTCTTGATAGAAATGAATAAAAACCCTATAACCTGAGCACTTTCGAAAGGTGGACTTTTCTTTTCTTCAGGGGCAAACTGGGAATGGCCTTGAAGAAGAAAGGTCCACCCTTT